CAGGCATCATAGGAATTGATGCTGGGTTTCTGGCTAGCAGTCAGAATGAAATGTCTATGCAGACAGAAAAATCCTCTCTCGAGAAGGGTGATCCAGGGAAATGAAAGGACAGACCCTCAGGAACTGTCACCTCCACTGATCTAACAAGTTTTCCCAGCTGAGGCTTGGTGTGAAGTGTTTACTCATCTGCCTTATCCCTGGAAAACAAAAAGGAGGTTAAAAATTAATCTTTGCGGCTGGCAACTTCTAGAGTGAGGTGACATGGTGGGGCAAATTTTTTCCAATACGAGGAATGTTCTGTAGCAGTGGAGTGACCGGACATCAGGGTTTACATGTGGCAGCTTGACTGCTAGAACTCAAGGCACTACATGACCTTTGTGGAGTTAAGTGCACCTTTTTGCACTGATGCACTGACCTGTTTAATTTGGTACTATGAAGGTGTTGGTATCCAAATTCTTCACTGTGATAGTGCCCATCCAGCTACAGTCAGCCTCGCATTCCCAGCTGTACTTGCAGAATAATGTGGCATGATGGATATATTTCCCTTAAATTTGCAACGGTAGATTTACTAACAGCAGGCTTTTTGAGTCATCTGGAAAACTGTAGAAACCTTATGGTATATCACCCCTCTTATTAGTGGCTCCTAGCACTTGATTTTGGATCACCACTTGCAAGAAGACACAGCCAAGTCCTGCTGGACTCAACCTTGAATTTCAGACAGATAAAAAAAATAAATCCTTGTTAGAAGAAACTGCAGGGGATGGAATCTAAACCTGCTGGGGCTAAACTAACACCAGAAAGTGCTAGCCTGCCACTACACGAGGCCAGTCTCTAAGTAGTTCAGTAGTTACCTTAACAGCTATAAAAGGGGTAAATCTGTAGAGGGGACAGAAAGAATAAAGAGAGAAACTGCTCTACCTGTCTCCCACTCCACAGGGAATAACACAAGCTACATTCACAGTAACTGATCCTAGTAAATGCTCTAAATGGAGAGAAAAAAGCTGTAGCTGAAATCTCTGTACAAATTACAGGGAGACAAGTCTGTATCTCCAGTTCTCCCTCTCAGTCTAATTCCTGTGCTGTGCAAATAAATAAGCTCCAAGCCACCATTGCTAAAGACCTTTAAGCCCTTTTGTACAACATAGTAAATATGGAACCAAGCAATTTCAGGTATGGAAAGACCTCTCCAGCAGCACCACGAGGTTATTACTGTTTCCCGGAACAATAAATGCGGTGAGTGTGTGATAGGTGTGTATTGTCTTAAAAAATAACTCAGGCTTTATATTAAGAAGAGGCAACAGACCACCTGCTTTTTGTTATGGATACAAGTAGTTGTAGAAATGTGCTCGCACCCTGTGTGGATGGCTCCTGGGACACGAGCAATAGGTTTTTTCTTTTCATAAGCCAAGCTGGTCTTGAGAGCAGAGAATAAAGCTGAAATTGGTAGTTACATTTCAGACACTCGGAGCATATCACGTGTGGCCATTAGGGCAAGATTAAATAAACATAATTAGAGAAATTCCTTCTGAAAGATGGTTCTGCAAAAAGGATTCAAGTACACACCTATTCTGCGCTCTGCTTGAAGTACTAATGCTTCTCCACCGCTAGAAGCAAATGCCTTTTGAAGGCAGTTCAGAGCCACCGTGCAGTCGCTTAGCTTTATAGTTTGCTAGCTGCATGTCATCTTTGAAGGCTGGGAAATTGCAGAGGCAGTACCGTGATTCCCAGCCGAGTGAAGCAGACACTTGACACATTTCATCCCTTGCAATTAAGGGAGAAAAGCAGAATCGGGGGAAAATTCAAGCAGCATTTTAGCAATAGACCACTCCCTTATCAAGATGAAGTACAAGCATCACCCACAGATATATGCAGGACTGATGCTAAGAACGAATAGTAATAAATGCATGTGAACTTTGCATGAGAAAGCCTCATACTTAGAAGACTTCGTTTATTGCTCTTAGTCATTTATACACATCCTTCTAAAGCAAGGAAGCTCAAACATAATCAAACCCTGTGTGCAAATTACCAAGTCAAATGTTGTTGTTCTGTTCTGTTCTCTTTTAATATCAGAGCGCAAACCTCCCAGTGTAAAAATACAATCTTGTGATAAAATGACTAATACATGACTAAAGCCATTTTCCATTGTGCAGGCATAGCTCTGGGGATCATTTGTTTTTCATGGTAGATCCCTCAGACAGTGAATTCCTCTGGTGGTTGGGATTATATTAATGACCAGGACTGTTAGTCACCTCAAGGGAGCTGAAATAGGATGCCACTCTGGTTGCCATTATTAATTCCAACTGCAGGTGTAAAAATTAATTTCATGGGTATTTTTATAATTTCCTTTTAGTTAAGGATTAGAGTTTCTGAATGACCCAGACTCCGGATGGAGACAAATCTGAACCAGGTCTGCCCACCATTCCTATAACAGTGAAATAACTCTGATGGAGTAGGAGGGAAAAAAATGGGGTACAAGACTTTCCATCCCTTGCTCTCTGAAGACAATTAATGACACTGAAAGATATCAGATGTCATCATGGCATACACTTCTTTGCACCAAGACTCTGTAAAGCTATCCAATAAAATGCAGGTTGTTTTCATTTATGTGGAAGAATAACACATTTGCCAATAGCAGGAGAAAAAAGGATAAGTTAAATATATCAAACCAAATCAAATGTAGCTGATTAGAAAGCTACAGTTTCCATTTGCTGGCACCAGTACTGTTTTCACATAGATTTTCTGACAGATGCTGCTATATCTCCACAGTCAAGAAGACAGCTCCAGCAGCCAAGCTTCTGCCACAGAAATCAAACCTGGTGTCGTTACCCATAAGTGGAGTTGGGCTGTTGAATTTGAGGAACGGGAGGGGAAAGGCTGGGAGGGGAGCTAGCTCACCTTGGCTGGAGAGGACAGGAGATGTAATCAGCTGGATCCATTACGGAGGGACAGGCTGGGTAGGGGGAAACACAGACACACACACGTTTCTGCCCATGATTAAGCCTCAACTCCTGTCAGTTCAACTGGTGAAGGTGTTGGCTCCAAAGCTGTCCCGTATTCATTGACACCTCCTTCTGCCAGAGCTCGATGAGTAATGCTCAGAAGATAAGCAGGTTAGGCCAGATTCAGTCAGATAATTAAAGGTTGGAGGTAACACAAGATCCTTATGTGCTCTTATACGTACAGCTCATCTGGGGTTTTGATTTATAATACCTTGTGCTCATAACCACCTTTCATCCTGCAGCTCTCCTCATGTCTGAGGCATCTTTGTCGTGTGGGCAAGGACTCTGCCTACTCCGGAGATGGACAGAGTACCAGAGGTCCTGCCTGGGGGGTGCAGGGCTCACAGCAACCTTCTCATCTGTGCTGCAGTCATCGCCCCCCCCCCCCCCCATTTATTTTAAGTGTCTCTCCTCATTGCTGCCGTGCAAAGCCTTTTTGACCCGATCTCTCTCCCCTTGCACCTCCCGTAGTTGTTTCTATCAGCACCACTCGAGTGCACAGCGGGGGGAAAAGCTGCTGCTTGGAATTGGCTTCACTTTACACCTCCCTCCCCGCACAGAGAGCTGCGAGAGCCGGGAAGGGCTCGGTGCCAGCCCTCCTCTGTTATAATGAACATTTTTGGGTCATGTAAGCCAAGAACTTTGTGTTGCTAAAGACCCCATCAGTTACTTAAAGCAGTTATCGTATTTTACTGTTTACACTGAATAAGCCCAGAGCATGGCTCTCAGCCCATCGCACACAGCGCAGTTTATCACCAAAAATTAATGAGTCTGTGCCATCTCGCACTTCCAGACATTAAATCACAGATTTGTTTAAAATTTACTGAAGTTTGTAACTTTTAATAAAGACTGTCTCAACCTTCACAGTTACACATCAAAACATCACGTCAGAATCATGCCCTCCTCACCACTTACTGACGGCTGAATTTAAGAAAGAGATAGCATATAAAATTCACTTATTTTTTCATGCTGCCACTGCAACTGCTCCATACTGTTGAAACAACTTAATGCAGAGCAGAAGGGAAAAAAGCAGAAATTATTTTTCTGAGGTAAAATAGATACAAGTGCAGTGCATATCACATTATCGGGACAGCTCAGATACACAATATTAATGTAATTGTTTTATTCTCTTCTCTTAACTAATACTAGTTTTCTTCTTCTGTAGAGTTTTCAGATTAATTTGTGCACGAGTTTTTACCAGGTACTCTACTTACCCACTTCACCTAATTTCAGAGCAAACACCACATTATATAACTGAACATGATCATCTAAGTTATGCATGATAAATTCCACCATAAAGATTGATAAAAATCTTTATTTCAATTTTAGTTTTTATTTCTTTTAGATAAATAGATTTTTTTTTTTAGCATCAAAATGTCTTCATTGATTTTTACATTTAGGCAAAGCCATTCATGAAAATTAGTAAACTAGGACATGCGTCATGAAACAAGCACAGTACAAACCTTGTGACACCAACCTTTAGCCACGTCTTAGACTCACTTGCAGCTTTTCAGTCACACCTCTGAACTGTCTTCCCTTCATACAGAGAAATTGTTTCTGGATCATACGCAGTTATTAGGAATATTTCTAGCATTTTATGAATGTTATAAGCAAGCAGTGAAATTACTCTGATTGCTAAAAAGCTGTCACTTCATTCGGACTCAGGGTACAGAGAGCAAACTCACACATTCAGGTGTAGCACCGATGCTGCATCTTCCATACAGTGACTGTCAGGCACTTCCAGGGGAATAAAATCGAAGCAGCTGCTAATACCTCGCAATTCCTAGAGCTAAAACTCAAGCCCTCTCGGATGCGACACAAAAGCAACCAAGATGTGTGTTTAAGCCTGCCTTATTCTAACTACTTTTTTTTTTCTAATTTAGCAACAGAAATTTTACATACAAATGAATATAGGTTGTATATTTAGGGTCTGTGCAGAATGGCCAAATAGGAGACTGTATAGGAAAATAAAATATTTTATTTCTCTCTCCTTTTGCACAGTTTTGAAACGCGACAAGTCTGGTGGATTCGGTAACACTAAGGCAAAACTGGGAAGTGAAGAGACAGGAGAAGCAAGTTTCATTAACAGAGAGAATTCTACATAAAATATACAGGAGCTGATGGAGGAAAGGAAGAGGCAGCCAAGATGTTCAGCTGCAAGTGGAGTCCAATTTGATGCTCAGCGTGAGTTTAAAGGGAAGATTTTCTCAGCCTTAAAATAAAAGAGCAGTATCAGATGCGTATGGGGCAGAAAACTGTCGTCACAGAAATGGATTGTACCGGGCTCGGGAAAAGCGAGAGTGGCAAAAGTAGCTCATTTTGCTGTGCTACATTTATAGATGTGCTCATTTGAATGCTCCCGGGAGGACTGGCTTTATGCATCCAGACAAAATATACAGGCATCCTAGCACACAGTATCACGATGATAAAACCTGAGCGTAACAGAGGTCCACCACAAGTTAACTAGGAATTTTGCCTCTGAATTTTGGGGAGCAGACCCGATTTCCTGCCAGCAGATCTGCTGACATATTTCATTTCTTGTAGCGTCAGCCCTCTGACATAAACAAATTGCTAACATCAAGGACCCAATCCTGCTTCTACTGAAATCAATACAAGTTTTGTCATGGGTTTCGATGGGATCAAGGATTCAATCCTGCAGTTCTTGAAGTCAATAGGGCTGGGGTTTTCTCTGCATAATTCCCTGCATTAATACTGCAGAATGGGCCTAAATTATATTGATTATTTGGATTTAAAGCCAAGCATAAAAACAGGATTAGGGGAAAGAGAGGAATGTTTGAGAAAGTGAGTTCAGAGCAGCATACATTCATGGCGTGCACCGGGTCAGCAGGAACTCAGCCGGAGCGGACTGCGGTGGCACAGCCTCGGTTAGCCAAGCCCGTTGGAAAGTACTGGGGGGAACAGAGAGAAGAAATTCACTGTGGAGATCCTTTTTCATCTGCTCCTTCTGAAGAAAGCCTTTGAGTCACTCATTCTTTATTAAAAATAAACAAAACATTGACAGAAGAAATTATTGTCACATACATACACATAGCAATTGATTCTGCTTCTTCACTGCTGCTTCTTTTCCCTCTTCTCTGATACAGGGCTGTTCTGTGTTTCTGTAACACTACTGGCAAACCAGAATTTATTGTACATATGTTTGTGTTCCACTTAATAAAAAATATACCTATATTTTCAGATAAACTTTGTTAGTAATTCATGAGGTAAGTGACTATTTATGCTAATAAGGGAGAAAGCATAATGCATGACATAAATTTGAATGCAAAATGTTCAATTATGAAGTAAATACAGGTAATGCAAATAGTAAATTACATCCAATAAAAATATATAAAGAATGTGTCTTCAAAGAGAGAGAGGCTTTTATTTGCGTCTGCGAGTTGTTTAAAGAGAAAAGAATTAATAAATACTGAATTACTCTTACGATGATTTAGCTCATAATTCACCAATCCGTAACGACTCCCAGTAATCAGACTGTTGTTTCATACCCTCCAATATAGGCAGGACTGTTTCCTCAGCAATTTTATCCCTACCAGATTATCTCGTCTGATTCTATTAATTCTCTCCCATAAATCTGCTAACAGTGATATGTGATTTACTTACCCTGTTAACTGATCTGAAGACTGTTAAAAGGATTTATCTAGCACTGCACCTAGGAGCAGTTTATGCCTTATCACTCTGTTACTCTGAAGAAGTCTTTCTGAAATCAATTTGGCTGGTTTCATAGTTAAATTCAGCGGACACTGTTTAGTTCTGCACCATAAAATAAGACACTAGATAAACAAAAGGAGCAATAACTGTACTTAATGTGTTAGTCTTGATATGTGTTTAAGTTATAACAAATTACACTCCGAGTCCATATAACTCATAACCTGCACGTTGGCTTCTGCTAAATCTTCTGTGTTAGATACACACACGCACGCACACACACTTCAGCGATGGAAGTTCGTGCATATGCTGCTGGTGTGCTCGACCCAATGCAGGGCGCTCCGGGTGTATCTGGAGTTAATGTTTCACGTTCCCCCCCCAGGCGATTTGTCAGAAAACTCTCCCACAGTAAATACCCATTAGTCTGAAGGCTTATGAACCGGGTCAGCAGCAAACTGGGAGCAAGCAGGGGCTCCACGTTATGTCGTCGAACAGAGATGCTTAAAAACAAAGCAGAGCAAGAGGCTGTGAGAGGGACGCTGGAGTTTTCCCTCTGCCTGGCTCAGGGCAGGATTGTTACAAACAGTGCTGGGAAAAGGGAGCAGTCTGGGGGAATTGGCCTGCGATAATTGTGGAAAAACTGAAGACTGAATAGCTCTAATTGAAATGAAAGTGTGTGATTGTTATGAAAGAAACACTGTTAATAGAGGACTGTAAATGTTTAGACACCCATTGTGAATAGCCAAATAATAAAGAAAAATACTACTAAAACGAGAATTATATAGCGTAGGGAGGAGATTGTTGCTTCTGAAGGTTATCCAAAAATTGCTAATAATCTTTTTTTCTCTGCTGTGCTGAACAGTAGAGACATTTTGATGCAGCAGTTCTATGTAACAATCACACAAGAACAATATTGTACAACTAATAATTTTACTTGCTGTTCTGGTAGGTCAGAGCTTCAATTAATTCACAGCACTTGCTTACATTGGTATCAATTAAGAGATGGTCCTCATTAGCTCACACAATTTCATACTCTGTCTAGAGTTCAGAGTTTACTCAGGAAATTTACTCATTTGCAAATGTAGCACTTTGAATCCTTGCGTCCAAACAAACTATTTTATGGGACTAAAGCCACATTTCCACAGCCATCTATCAAACGAGCAAGTGAAATACTATGATTGTACATTCTGAAATGCAATAGCCTTTTCATTTAAAAATATTAGCACACATTTTATGTCTCTCATAGGTGAGTATGTTAAGTGATATACAGTACCACATTCATCTTGCTCAGGGAAAAAACAAATACATGGAATTGGACTGTCCTGGGGGGATTTATGCTGTGAGCCTGGAAGTTTTCTTGATTCCAACAACGTGGAGAAATAGGAAAGCCAGCCCGAGTAGTTAAATTGTATTAACTGTCATGAACCACATTTGTAAGATAAAGCTAGCAGATGTCCATGGCTCTGCGTGCGGGTGTGTTTTGGGACCGTGCAGAACTGTATTTTAATTTGGTTAGCAGTGTTGGTAGCATTTTTTAGCTTTACAGAATTGCCTCTATGATTGTTTCTAAATGTAGTTATCTTCCTAAATTTGCAGTGTGCCCTGCCTTTCTTAGCTGCCAGGAACGGTACATGCTGTATGACTTTCAGATGTTAGTATTGGCACTCGTACCGATAATGGCATAGTCGGAAGATGTTATCCATTCGTAAATCCACTAGCCAAGTCCTATTTCCTAAGCAGAGATTCTTTGGCTATTGCAAATGATCATTTTCACAGTCGGTGAAAAATTACCCAGATACTTGCCCGCACCTACAAAGTAATACCCTGCACGCAGTTATAAATAGCAAACTCCGAGGGGGAAGGGACCAGGCGAGGGGAGAAGGGAGGATTTGAAGTACAATGTTCAAGAAGCTGGTTTAATATATGACCAAGTGTCAGAAGTCAGGTTTCTGAGAATTACTTTTCAGATAAACAACTTTATAGCACCGCACTTAATCTTACTTACTAGAGACATCTCATTTATCACAGAATTACAAGTAACTTTAATTCTATCGATATTCCCATAAAGCCCGGTCGGAAAATCGAGCCTGGCAGCCCCGGAGGCTGCGGGTTTCGCCGGCCCGCGGCGGGTGCAGCGGGGCCGGGGCCGGGCGGGGAGCGCGGCGGCTGCGGGGGGGGCACCGCCCCGGCCCCCGCCCCCGGCCCGGCCCGGCTCCCGCGGCTCCGCACCGGCCGGGGCCCGGCTCGGCACTGACCTTTCGGCGAGAGATGGCGCTGTCGAGGTTTAAACCGAGCCGATCCGCCGCTCCGCGTCCTGCCCGCTCGCCGCCGCCACGGCCCCCTCCCGCAGCGGGCGGGGGGGAGGCTAAAGTAAATACAATTAGTTCGAAATGTATTAAATTAATTAGTCCGGGCCAGCAGGCCAAGTGCGGTGGGGGGCGGGCAAACTCGCAGGGCTTTCGCACCTCTTGGCGTTGGGGGGGGGGGGGAGCGGATGGAGGAATGGTAAAATCCCGGTAAAAAAAAAAAAAATAATCGATGAACGAGACGGGCGCTGCGCTGCGCGGAACGAGTGACCCCGCACCGCGCCGGGGGAAGGTCTCGGCGCCCGGCCCGGGGGCGGCCCCGCGCTGCCGGGTCCCCCCGCTGGGGCGCAGCGACCGGCGCTCCCCCCCCCCCGCCCCCGTCCCCGGGCGGAGGCAGCTCCCCCGCGCCCTCCAGTGCCCGCACCGCCCGCCCGGCGGGGGCAGCTCCCGGCACCCCGCCCCGGGGCAGGGCGCTCGCCCGAAGGCGCGCACGGCCGCGGGGAGCGCGGCGGCCGGGGCCGTCCCGGCGCGGCGGAGCGGGAGCGGAGCGGAACAGCGCGGAACGGGAGGAGCGGCCCCGCCGCCGCCCCGTCCCGCACCCGCTCACCCGGTGAGTCCGGCGGCAGGCGGCGGGCAGGAAGGGGTTAAGGCGCTCCCCAGCTGACAGTCAGCTGATGGGGCCCTGATTGACAGCTCCGAAAAGTTTCCTTGTTTCTATATTATGCTAATGAGGGCTGGGATGGCGGCAGCCTATTGGTCCGCCCGCCGAGTCAATTTCCCATTTGACGTCAGGAGCGCTATAAAACTCAGCAATGCTTTTAAACTCTCCTGCTGGATGAAACCTTTAAAATATTTTTCATCTTCTTGCTGTAGCTTTTGGGTCGAGTTTTTTTTTCTCGCTCTTTTTTTTTTTTTTTAACTATTATTATTATTATTATTTTGGTTGCGATATCGACTTTGATTTTTTTTGTCTTCGCTCTCTTTTCCCTCCTCCCTTCCCCGATGAACCTCTCTTCTCGCTCTGCACTTTGCATGAGAAAGCCCAGAGGAAAGGCACCATGAAGTGTTAAAAATAACAAAACAAACCAACAACAACAACAACAACAACAAATTTACTCGCAACAACACCAGCTAACACTTCCAGCTGCAGTTTGCAAGCTGCAAAAGAGAGAGGAGAGAGAGAAGGGAGGGAGAGAGGAGAGAAAAAAAAAAAAAAAAAAAAATCCTTTATGCAAAAGGCGAATAGCGAGAGCCCCTCGCTCTGATGCATCAGCGGCAGCGGAGACTCTGCAAAGGATAACGCGGAGCGGGAGCGAGAGCAGCCGGGGCGAATTGGAGCGGAGGCTGCGAGGGGCCGTGGCGAGAGGCAGAGGCAGGAGAGAGCGGAGCGGAGCTCGCCAAAAATCAAGCTGGCTCACCCGGTGGCAACTCAGAGCAGTCCCCTCGCTCCCGGAGCGCACCCTTTCTGGAGGACTGTCAGCAGCAAAAGGATGGCATCAGAACTGGCAATGAGCAGCTCCGACCTGCCCACCAGTCCCCTGGCCATGGAATATGTTAATGACTTCGATCTGATGAAGTTTGAAGTGAAAAAGGAGCCGGTGGAGACCGATCGCATTATCAGCCAGTGCGGCCGCTTGATCGCCGGGGGATCGCTCTCTTCCACCCCGATGAGCACGCCCTGCAGCTCGGTGCCCCCGTCCCCCAGCTTCTCGGCGCCCAGCCCCGGCTCCGGCACCGACCAGAAGACCCACCTGGAAGACTACTACTGGATGACGGGCTACCCGCAGCAGCTCAACCCGGAGGCGCTGGGCTTCAGCCCCGAGGACGCGGTGGAGGCGCTGATCAACAGCAGCCACCACCCGCTGCCCGGCGCCTTCGATGGCTATGCTAGAGGGCAGCAGCTGGCCGCGGCCGCCGGCGCCGGCGGCTCCGTGCCGGCCGAGGAGATGGGCTCGGCGGCCGCCGTGGTGTCGGCGGTGATCGCCGCGGCGGCGGCGCAGGGCGGCGCGCCCCACTACCACCACCACCACCACCACCCGCACCACGGCGGCGGCGGCGGCGGCGGCGGCGGCGGGCACCCCCACGCCGCGGCGCCGGGCAGCGCGCCGCCCTCCTCCGCCTCCTCGGCCGCCGGCTCCGGCGGCGGCGGCGGCGGCGGCGGCGGCGGCGCCGGGGGGCTGCACCACCCGCACCACGGCGGCGGCGGCGGCGGCGGCGGCGGCCTCCACTTCGACGACCGCTTCTCCGACGAGCAGCTGGTGACCATGTCGGTGCGGGAGCTCAACCGGCAGCTGCGGGGCGTCAGCAAGGAAGAGGTGATCCGGCTGAAGCAGAAGAGGAGGACCCTCAAAAACAGGGGCTATGCCCAGTCCTGCCGCTTCAAGAGGGTCCAGCAGCGGCACGTCCTGGAGTCGGAGAAGAACCAGCTGCTGCAGCAAGTGGAGCACCTAAAGCAGGAGATCTCCAGGCTGGTCCGGGAGAGGGACGCCTACAAGGAAAAATACGAGAAGCTGGTCAGCAATGGCTTCAGAGAAAACGGATCCAGCAGCGACAACCCTTCCTCTCCAGAGTTTTTCATGTGAGTTCCCACAGCCTTGCCACCTTAACTAAAAGTTCTCCGTGTGAGTTGTTGTTGGGGGCTTTGCTAGAGCGACAACCCAGCTTGCCACCTTCTATTATTATTTTTTTTTTTTTAAAAAAAAAAAACAAAAAAACTCAAAACAATTTTAAAACAAAGTTGGTTTTTGGGTTGCTTTTTGGTTTTTGTTTTTTCTTTTTTTTTTTTTTTTTTTCTTTTTAAGGTGGGCTGGCTCCGTGTTGGCCAACCTAAAGTTCTACATGAGTTTCTTTTTTTTTTTTTTTTTTTTAATTTTTGTGGGGGCTTGCTGTTGTGGTTTTGTTTTTTGTTTTTTTTTTGTTTTTTTTTTTTTAATTTGAAAGATCCAACTCGCCACCAACTCAGTTCTTCATATGAAGCTTGCTCTTCTTTGAAACCTGCCATCCACATTATATATATATTTTTAAGTTCATGCGTTTTTTTTTTTCTTTTGAGCTTGCTGTGTCCAAAAAAGTCAGATTTTTTTTTTTTGCCATCCTGAGTTCTTCATATGAGATTTGAGCTTTGCAAAAAGAAAAATAAAATTAAAAAAAAATAAAAAAAAAAACAAAAACAAAAACAAAAAATACAAAAACAATGTGAAATTTTTAGACTCCAGCTTGCTGCGTTCCATCAGTTTTTAGCGTTGTTGTGCAAAACTAGAGATATGCCTAGATCAACCTGCCAAAATCAAGCCTGCATCAACCTTCGGTGTGTTCATGTGAGTTTTGGCCTTAATCTGCCAAATGTGAGACTTTAGTCTGCCATTAGAATCCCATACTCATCTCATGCATTACGCTTGCTATTTTGTCTTAGCAACAATGAACTATAACTGTTTCGAAAGACTATGAAAAAGAGACATTATATTAATAAAAAACCCTGCATGCTGGTCATGTATGGTATAATTATTTTTTTTTTCTTTTGCTTGGAAATGGACTTTTGGAGACTATTATGGCATGGCATTCATCCTTTTGTTTTATTGCCTCACTTTTTTGGGTTGAAAGCAAAAAAGTGCAACCTTTGATCTTCCTCCTCCTCTTCCTCCCCATTAAAGTTTGCATCTGCTCTAAAACTGCTTTGAGTTACTCAAAACTTCAGACTTCCTTTTAAATGCACTGAAGCATTCCCTCTCAAAAAACCTTCCAGAATGGATTTTGATAACCTAATGTGGCAAAAAAAAAAAAAAAAAAAACCACCAAACAAAAAACAAACAACATGAAAAGACCTTTGGAAAGATGTTCAAAAACAAAATTCACATCCCACTTGGGGGGGACACTGAAACCATGCTGTTGCCTAAAACAGTCTAAAAATTAATTTTAAGTGATCTGCCCCAGTTTGTTTTGTTTTTTGTTTTTTGTTTTGTTTTTTTTTTTTCTTTTGCATTTGGTCATTGTCAAATGTGGAATGCTCTGGGTTCCTAGTATATAATTTAATTCTAGTTTCTGTCATCTGTTAGCCCAGTTAAAATGTATGCTACAGATAAAGGAATGTTATAGATAAATTCGAAAGAGTTAGGTCTGTTTAGATGTAGATTTTTTTTTTTAAAGATTGATGCACTAAATTGTTTACTGTCGTGATGTAAAGGGGGGTAGAATTTGCAACGGGACTGTTTTAAAAAGTAGTTTATGCAGCATGTGCTTGCAACTTAAATATAAGTTGGGTATATGTAGTCCTTGCTATACCACTGACTGTATTTGAAAACCAAAGTATTAAAAGGGGGAGGCACCCCTGTTTATATCTATAGGGGTATTTTACATTCAAAATGTATGGGTTGTTTTTGTTTTTGTTTTGGTTTTTTTTTTTTTTTTTTTCAAAATTGAAGTATTTGGGACTGAATTGCACTAAGATATAACCTGCAAGCATATAATACAAAAACAAAAAAAAAATTATGAACCTGTTTAGAACGCTAATACGATTTATGCAGTTATAAAGATGGCATTACTGCACAGTTTTAAAATGATGCAGATTTTTTTACAGTTGTATTGTGGTGCAGAACTGGATTTTCTGTAACTTCAAAAATTCCACAGTTTTAAAGGCAATAATCAGTAAATTTTATTTTCAGGGACTGATATCCTGTCTTTTAAAAAAAAAATGGAAAGTAAATCTTACCACAATAAATATAAAAAAATCTTGTCAGTTACTTTTTCTTTTACATATTTTGCTGTGCAAAATTGTTTTATATCTTGAGTTACTAACTAACCACGTGTGATGTTCCTATGTGCTTTTCTTTCATTTTCGACTCTATGGTTATATCAAAAGAGAGAATAATCTACAATAATAAACTGCATTTTTTTGATTCCGTACTCAGTTTCTTAGTCTGTAGTTTGAAGTTCAATAACTCCGAGAGCAGTACTTCAGCGTACTGCCTGGCAAAGGGGTGATGCTGGTACCAGAGCTGGACTCAATAATAGTCAGGAGGGGAGAAGGAAAGGGATAGCTTTGTGTAAAATGGAAAATTGTCGCCCACTAGAAATCAAGTTATCTTTCAGGTAGATGAAAAACGTGAGCTTTCAGGTGCTGCTTCTGACTTCTCAGTATTGCAGTGAGTTCAGTTTCAGTGACTCAGATCATCCCACCAGGTTTTAGGAGATCTCAAAGGGGAGGTCTGCTTAAAAACCTGATGACATGATATGGCCCTATATTTTGATTGTTTTATGATGGAGTGAAGTGAAAGGGAAGACTTCACATCCTCTTATCATCTGATCCCAGCTAAGCATGCCTGTCTCTAGTAAGAGATGACACTGGATCAGGCTTGCCTTGTCACAGAGCCACTTAATGCTAGATTGAAAGATTTTGTGCCATTTGGGTCCATACTGCCTCCTTTTTTTCTTTTCTTTGCTTTCCCCCCTTCTTCTTTCTTCTTTCGTTTGCCCTGTGGGGTTGTTTTTTGTTTTTTTTTTGTTTTGGTTTTTTTTTTGCTACAGTCCTTAGAAAGCCCAGAGAGAACTGAGGGGCAGAGGTAAAAAAAAAAGGTGAAGGACTTCCTCCAACTTTTGAGAGTTATTTGTCCTAAACAATTGATCCAAAGGTTAATGTGCTAGAAATGTTCAGCCCCTCTTCACTGCGGTTCTCCATGTCGAAGGGCATTTTGACTTCAAAAGGCTCCTTAAAGCCTCACCCAATTCATTTAAAGCCACCTTCCCCGAGAGCCTCCAGCATCCATTTGCAAAACCCTTTCTTACTCTTTGAATGGGATTATCTGCCCAGTTTATTTGAGAAGCAGAGACCTCTCTGAAGGATGCTCCAGCCCTTCCAGGATGCAGGTTACATCTCTAGACCCAGGCTTGTAAACCCAGCCCTTTTTTTATCCTTTATATTTTTCCCCCCTTGGTGTTGGTGCAGCCTCTTCCCAGCTGTAGGGTCATCCCCCCCAGGCGCTGGTGGCACTGAAAGGAGAGGACCTGTTGCAGTTCCTCTGCCAGGCTGGCCCAGCCCACGGCTTGGACCCCACCCTGCCCTGTGTGCCAAGGTCAGGATGCGGCCCCGACCCCCCCACCCCGTGTCGCCTGCACCCACAAGAGCCTGCGTCAGTGGGCACTGGGTGCTGCTGGAGGTCAACCTGCTGCTGCCGAGGTCCCTGTGGAGGGGATGGACACCCGGCCCCACCGCAGGTGACAGCAGGCGTTGGTGGCAGTGGTCCCCGATGCCGATGCTGCGCCTTGCCCCTCCCCAGCGCCGGAGCACCAACCTGCCCTTTGGCATCTGACCTGCTGTTGCACCAGGCTTTGAGTAATGGTTCAAGCTCCAGATTCTGGTTAATTGGAGTTCCATTTCTGGTTAATGTGTAATCTGTGGGTAAACTGGTTGCTATTGGCTGAGCAGAGAATTATCTCCTCTCATAAAGACAGGGCTGCTTTTTATTTCTTCTCCCACCTTCCCTTCCCTGGCGGAGCCTTAACTGATGCCCAGGTTTTTTCGCAGGGGCTCACTTAGAGCCTTTGCTGCTGCCCTTGCCGAGAGCTCCAGAAGGATCCCTGCCCTAAGGAAGGGAAGGGTTGGGGCCTCTCCTCGGCAAAGCCCCCACCGAAGCAGCGCTGCAGTCCCGGGGGGAGCGCGGAGCCTCAGGGCCCCAGAGCGGGACCCACTTCTGGTCCAGCCTCATCCCCACACCCCTCTGCTGCTCCAGGCTACCTCACAGGTGAAGTTAGGAGCAAGCATTAGGATTTTGAAAGTATTATGAATCAACTGAGTAGCGCAGGGTGAGGGGAGCACTGCTGCCTCCCTGAAGTATCTTCCTTCTCAGCGTAAAAAAAAAAAAAAAAAAAACCAAACCAAAACACCCTGTTTGAACAGCGATAAGAGAAAGCCTTCCTAGAAATAGACAGAGTGCAAAAGGGAAAATTCCCATCACACATCCAACCTGAGAGGGAAAAAAGGCTCTCTCCCAGTTTGGCATTGTTATGACACATTGCAATCTTGCTTTGCAAATTAAAAAAAAAAAAAAAACATTCAGCCTTCCTTGGGCTGCACTTGAATTTCAGCCTGAAACATGCCAACTGCCCAACTGAAGGGGGAAAAAAAAATAGATGCATGCTTTAATGTTCACTAAAGCAAAGCGAATATTGGGGTTCTCTGTATGAATCATTGCAGGGGAGCGCCCACCTTTGCCGCAGGACTGCTTGCTGAGGACTAATTGGAACCGCTCTGCTCTGAATAACCTACATTCATTAATCACCCCTCGCTTGACTCTGGCCTCAATCCTGCTCCTATTGAGCTTGGAGGTACAATCCCTGGGGATTTCTAAGGGGAGCAGGATCCCGCTGGTCTCCCACAGGTACCTCTCTGGCTAAAGCAGGGGCAATGCTGCCCATGCCAGGAGACCGTGTGTCAAAAGGCGTGCGTGGTCTTAATCTCACCATTACTAACAACATCCTAGTTCTCTCATAGTCCTATAGTGCTTTCTCATTTATTAACTACATTGCAAAGAACTTTCATGTGACCAGTGCCGGGAGATACACGCACAGAGAGAGTGGCCCTGGCTG